CAAGGACTCGATCGTGGCTGTAGATCGGCGGCCACGTCACTGATAAACCTTGCACGCTGATCTGATGTCCCCATCACTGTAATCGGGCAATGGCTGCCTAAAGCTTGTGATAGTTGGCCGATGATGGCTTGGCGGAGGCCTAACGGTGGTGCTCCTAATCCATTGAGCCTTAAAGAGTGGGGGCCTATTTAGAGATTTTTGAGATTCATGTGCCCGTAAATATGAAGAAAATTTGAAACACTACATCAGAAGACCCATATTAATTCCTTTGATTATAAAACACTTGTTCATCCTTTGAGTGCCTTAATGTGTCAGAATTTAGTTATCTTGGGCTTATTGAATTCATCTCGTTGAGCCACTTGATTTAACTATAAGCATGCCAAATTTGGAGATCATTTGGTCATTCACCTAATGTCATGAAGTTTCCAATTATATTTTAGACCCTTAATTTAGGCTTTTGCTTCAATGGGTTCATCTCATTTGGAGGAGTCGGTTGAGAACACCAGTCTTTGCATTCGATCGAGAGAGACAAATGTCTTGTGAACCCCTCTCGCATGCGTGTGACGAAATGGGATGAGAGAGGCATGTGACCAGAAGTTTCTTTATGCGTATCTAGGAAAAATCAAATGCTTAGATCGGTGGTCTTGTGCGTGCCTGCGTGGGACCGAGAGCTTAGAGCCCTTATTGTCATACTTGCGGCCTCTCTTGTGCACATCTAGAACTTGTTGGGATACATAAAGTTGAATTATATAAGATTTTCAGGTTTGCACTCAGCTTTGAATGATGTAAGTGTTTGCAGCCATTGAGTCTCCATACCATTTAAAGGTGTGCAAATATTGAGGATAGGGTTAAAGATATTGGGAATATGCTAGCGTCTCCTCCATCCGATTTACAAGAACTTTTGCTACTTTTTGATAAAGCTGAAAATTTATTGTTAAGAGTAGAGCAATCTCCATATACTTCAATTTTGACTGTTGTCAGACTGCTATGAAGGCATTGGTTTCCAAGAATCTTCTGGGCCACTTAAACATGGATGTGAAAATTTCCATTGCCTATTTTCTTAATGAAATAACAAGAATAACAACACTAGATGCTCCATATGATGATGATATAATGAACGAGATATTTGAGCTAATTGTTGGAGCTTTCAAGAGTTTGGATGAGTTGTCAAGCCGTTCATTTCTGAAGAGAGTTTCAATAATTGAAGATATTGCAAAGGTCCTAACCTGTGTTTTGATGTTAGATATTGATTGTGATGATTTGATATTGAAAATGTTTCAACATTTTTTGAAGAAAATAAGGTCAAAGCATTTTGATACTATTTTCTCTTTAATGGAGTGTATTATGACAATTATTTTGCAGGAGATTGAAAGTATTTCTACACAGCTTCTTTCATGTCTGTTGGATGGTGTGAAAGTTGTTGAAAAAATATTCTATATACAACCAAGAAGCTAGCTGAGAAAGTGCTTGTTAACTATTTCTTGAAACTAAAGCCTTATTTGGCTAAATTATTTAATGACAATGGTGCTTTGTTAAGTGATTAAACAAAATTGTTGCTGCTGTATTTCAGGGGAATCCTACCCAGCGATACATATTGAAAAGAAAGCTTTTGGTGAAAATTAGGAAGCTGACCATAAATTATTTGAGCGGTTCCTTTCTGATGACTTGCCTCAGGGATCTGTATAACAGGAAAGTGAAAAATTTCATCTTGAAAAATCTGTTGCTGTTGTAGATGGATCTTCCAAACCGGTGACGAATAATGGATCTTTTCAGAATGGAAATGATGTACCATGGCTGCAAAGAAAAAGGATGAATTTCTCCATCATAGTAGTAAATCTAGAGTTAATACTAAACATAGCTTGGATCCAGGTATAATAAAAGTTTGATAGAAGGTCAAATCTAAGTTCTTGCAAAGGAGGAAGAAATGTTTCATTGCAGTTTTCAAATAACAATGATCATTATGGAGTTGGTAATAAGAAAAATGCTCGGAGTAATTCTGACAACTAGCTTCCAAGTAATGGAGGTAGAAATGGATCTCAAAGAAAAATTATAGTGAGATTCTTAGAAAACAACCAAACTACTGGCATTAAGTGCAGAAAGGAGTTTAGCATGCTGAGGTTGAAGACAAAGAATTGAAATTAAAGGAAGTTCTCTCTTCTCAAAAGTCTATAGTGAAAGATTTGGTTAAAGATGACATTCATGCTAAAGATACTGGTAAATCGAAATTAAGATGGAAGTGTGCTCAGGGCTTATAAGTGGCATTGGGACCTCGAAAGCATATGAAAGGCTTGGATGACACAATTGTTGGTTCAAAGATAATAATTTGGTGGCTAGATGATCAGAGGTTTTATGATGACATTATTGATTCTTTTGATCAAAGTACAAGAACACATAAAATTGTATGAAGGTGATGTAGATGTGCTGCTCCTAAAGAAATGGCAATAAGAGTTTATTGAAGGTGAAACCGACATGCATGGGATGCAGGAAAAGGATGAAACTGATGCTGTAGACATTCTTACCTATAGACTTGATAACTCTACTTTTCTGGGACAAATTACCAAGTTGAGAATGACAGATTTGTATTCCCCAACTTGAGGGGGAGTATGGTCCAATGGCCAGCATGGGGATCCGTGGGAGGCTCACCTGGATCATGTCGATCTCCTCCTATATTTTGGGGGCTGATTTAGGAAGGATTTTATTAAGACAATTATGCATGATTTATTATTTTTTGTTTCTTTATTAAGATATCTTGTATAGATCTATAAATAGGGATGATTTTGTAGGATAAAATTAAGTCTTTTCCCTCTCCAATTCTCTTTAACAAAACTAATGGAGACGGGGATTCATAAAGCTAGTTTTGATGGTTGGGACAAGGGTAATGATGATGATGAAAATCTCAGCTCGGCAGGAGCATTTATCATTATTATTATTATTATTATTATTATTATTATTATTATTATTTTATTCTTACCATTTTATACGGGTGAAACATATTGAGTAACACTACAAGCCTTTGATATAATGACACAATCCATATTTTATATCACAAAATACATGCTGGAAGGGTAAGTCTTCTTTCCCTTCCTGTGCCGTGCGCTATTAAAATATAGGTGAAAAACTAATGCATTATTTTCATTTGTATTGATATGATGAATTTTTTCCATATGAAGGACTTATAGTATTTTGTCATTTCTTATTCTACGATGTTCATATTTTCATTTCTGTTTATATTAAATTCTCTTTGAGGGTTTCATTGTATTAACTTGGTAACTATCTTCATCAAGATTGATCAGGACTTTTGGATTCTTATTTATTCTTGTATTATCATTAATTTATTAGATGTCGTAGTATCATTATGGCATTTCTCTAAACGTAGTTGTAGAAGAAATATCACTGATTTCCTTTGTTTTTTTTTGAGTGACAGGGGAATGATAAACATTGGGTTAAAGCGATTTCCAAAAGCTTTGGAGTGTCTTCATAATGTGTGTAACTAGTATACAGTTTGGATGCTAATTTTGCCTTCAAATGTTTTTTGATAGTAAATTGCAATTGACAGGTTGTTACTGCACCAATGTCAACGATTAATGCGATAGCTATAGAAGCATACAAAAAATATATTCTTGTTGCGCTTATTCATCTTGGGCAGGTATGTCGCTTTCTTCAATTTTTTGTTCATGCATGCCATAATATTTCATTGTGCCACTTGTGATTTGTATTCTTTGACCTTTTCTCCATGTTTCTGTTAAATGTTTTTTAAAACCTTCTTTATAAGCCAAAAACATTTTCAATGACTATTATGTGTAATAATTGATGGGGTTTCCTAGTCACATTCATTTTTCTTCCGTTTTTCTTCAATTTGTGCTAGGATGTAAATTGACTTAGTGTTTGGAAAGCTTCTTCATTGCATTTCTTTTCAGTCTGCTGTTCTACGTCTATTTAGCTATTGTGTTATTGACTTTATTTAGAAATTTCTGTAGTGAGAAACTACTTTTGACATTTGGATTTGCTAGAATATGGTTGCTGTAAGAATGCGGTTATCTGATTTTTTTCAAAAGTAAGTATATTTTAAATACATACAACAACTTTAGAAAAAGTTGCTTTCTTGAAATAACTCTATAACTATTTTTACAAATAGCTATGATCACCCCAAGCAGACACTTGTAAGCAAGTTTTGCTAGAACTTGAGTTCTCAATCCAAGTAGGATAAATAAGGAAGGCCTAGCTTTCTCTAGTCTACTGTTCAACAAATTGATATGAAGTTTTAATGGTGAAATTTTCTTTATTCTTGCCATAGGAGTATGTAATCCTAAATCAAGTAATGGATTATGAATTAAAAGTTCTCAGATTCACGTGGGCACTAAAAATTCACAATTGTCTCTACTAAAAGTGTTATGTTTAGGATTATATTTTTAGAAGGTAAACTAGATTGCAAAAGACTACCTAGAGATGTTGCCCCTATTTTATGAGCACTTCAATACCTGGTTTTAGATTACTTATGAGTGTAATCCGTCATGATTAATTGTCCTCTCTAGCGATGAGAGAGAATTTACGATTAAAGCTGATTGGACGGCACTAAGTGTTTAGCTTATAGCAGCAATTTGATTTTATATTGAGGAAATACACCGCCCATAGTTTAAGACGAATTGTAATGATCCATTATTTAGTCAATGGAGGTTATCAGCTCAAGTTGACCGAATGATCCTTCTCTATAGGCATTGATTGCATTGTCCAAGAGGGCCTTAAAGATTTGGGATAGTTGTTTTTTATGAGTACAATTTTAAATTAACCTTAGTTGACCAAGGGCTTTGTGCCCAATTGCACCTTAAATTCATAACTCAAGGGGCTCGAGCTAATGGGGAGCACGTGGGTTCTCCCTATGACTGCAATTTAATAATATTATTTTGTGGAGCCGTTAAAAACCTCCTCGTTAGAGGGTTTCAATTATAATCATTATTTAGTAGTGTCATTTATTGGTGAAATTATCTGTTAGAGGACACATGTCATGTCTTATTATTATGAAATCTTTTGAGAGAGAGCATAACGATATTGCTTGATTAGACATTCGTTTTTTGTGAGTTGAGAATAATCTTAAATTTATTTCCCTTGACAAATTATTATAGTGGGGTGGATATATAATATTATCGTTGTCAGGTCTCAAGCCTTAGATGAGAAAAATGAAGAGTTTTCTTAGGTACTCAACAACCAGCGTAAAACTTATTAAACAATCTTGGCATGAATCCTTAGTATATTATGTTAATGATAGGGCGTTTCCTAGAAGCGATGTGCTGTATGACTTGAATACAATGAAAAATGTGCTAGAGCTACTGCATCAGCAGTTGTTACATTATTAAATAAGCAAGGGTTCCCACATCATCGATCGATGTGGGCAAAAAAGCTAGTCCATTAATTAAATTAGGATAAGAAGTTGAAATATATATTATCTTACATGCAAATAAATGAAAATAATATATATTATGATTTATAGGAAGATAAATATTTTATATATTTAGGAAACTAAATGGGTTAGAGAAAAAGCTAAGGAGATTGATAGTTTAATATTTTATCCTTTAGTATTCAAGTATGAGTTGTACTAGAAATGGTGTAGGGGTGATTATAGATAAGAGTTTGAAAAAAGATAATATTGTATAAATTAATAAGATTAAAGACATAGTTATAGCTTTAAAGATTATTGTTAATGCTGAAATTATTAATATTATAAGTGATTTTATTTTTCATGTAGATTTGGATGTGCATTCAAAATTTAAATTTTGAAATGGCTTATAAAAATAAATATAAAGAATACCTCTTGAATGAAGAGTTTTTTGATAGGAAACACTGGAAGATTTGAAGTAAATCCTATCAATCTAAAAAAAAAACAGCGAGAAATTTCCACAAATCCAATAGAAAATCAGAGAAAAGCAGGAATTTTATTGCAAGAACACAAACTAACAGAGGAAAATAGTAAGATACAAATTGATCCTCTATTTGATAGGAGGATCTCTCTCTCCCAAATATCTAGACACTACTAGAGCCCAAAAAAAACCTAAGTTTAAGAGATCTCAATTTCATCCAAAATTCAAGATGTCATAATCCCAGGAAAACACACTATTTAATTCATACAATTCAAAAGGAAATCTCTAAATAGTCTCTACTTTCAAATTTCCCTCCTAAACTTCTCCCAAAACCTTACTAATACGCTCTTCCTGCTTTGTTTGGTTTGATCGGCATGCAAGAGGCAGAAGAGACCGCCTCTATTGCTCATAAGCTGGTCCAATATGGACCGGTTGAATCGGTCCAATGGACCTGTCTAACAATATTCCCCTCCTAATGATGCACCTTTTTCCGGAAGTTGAGAAGACAACACACTCCTCAATTCCTTCTTCATCACAAACGATAAGAACCTGAAGAGTTCGGTCTTTATACATGTGCCCTGGCGCATACCTCTCGTCACATCTGAAATAGAGCCCCTTCGCCCTTTTCTCATGTAATTTCGTTTCTGTGAGCTTCTTGAAGTTGTCCCCCGGTCTTATTCCTACAGTTTTCTCCTTCAGAATCTCCCGAAGTGTACCGAGTGTCGGTTCCTTGGGTGCCAGAAAGGTGGTGTTCCTTCTGTTTGGAACTCTTGAGCTGCTGCCTCCCATCTCTCTCTCCAGGTGTCTTTGATCCTCCACCAATTAAGCTAGCTCTATAGCCTCTCCCAAGTCATGAGGCCTCATTACTCTAGCCGCTGCCTGGATCTCTGGTGTCAGTCCCTTCATGAAATTTCCCTCTAGCATTGTCTCAAGAAGGCGATTCAATCAGCTGGCAAGATACTCGAATCTCTCTCGGTACTCTATCACTAACCTATCATTTATTAAGGCAAAGAACTACTCGTGGAAGTCTCCTCCCTTGCTCGTTTGGAAACGTTCTACTAAACAATCCTTGAATTTCCTCCAACTCCGTAAGGATCATCGCATGCCCCTCCACTGGTATCAAGCCAAAGTCTTCCCTTCCAAATAAAGGCCCGCTACCATCAGTCTCTTCTCCTCCGTCAACCCATTGACATTGACAGAGAAATATCTTTCTACCTTGTAGATCCACACATACGTATCCTCCCCCTCAAAGATTGACTTTTTCAGTTTCCTCACCCTCGGACTGCCTCCGTTCCCTTTGTTCCCTTTATAATTTTCCATTCCCCAAGGGGGTGGTTCCCCCCAATTGTGCCAATCATCTCTCCTCCTCTCGCACCCAAACCTTTTATTACAACCCACCTTTTCCTTCAAATTCAGCAACCCTTCGATCATATTCAACACCTCTCCTTTCAAATTCGACACCACTTCGATCATAATCAAGTCCTTGCCTTTTAAATTCATCCTGTCTCCTTTCAAATTCCAAAATCTATCGTTTCTGACAGAGATGCTCGTTTCACTTCTAAATTATGGAAGAATATTCAGGAAGCTATGGGCACACGACTGACTTTCAGTACATCATTTTATCCACAGACAAATGAGCAATAAAAAAGAACAATTCAAACTTTGGTGGATTAAATGTGATTATGTGTTTTAGATTATGGAGGAAATTGACTGTTGATTGAATTTGCTTACAACAACAGTTTTCAAGCTAGCATTGGAATGGTACCATATGAGGCTCTTTATGAAAGAAAATGTAGAACACGTCTGTGTTGGGTAGAAACTGGTGAAAGAAAGGTAATTGGAACTGAACTGGTAGATGAGGTTACTAGTAAAATCAGACTGGTCAGAGACAGACTAAAGGCAGTTCAAGATAGACAACATAAATATTATGATGCAAAACACAGACCAGTTGAGTTTTAAGTAGGAGAATTTGTTTTTTTAAAAGTTAGCCCAATGAAAGGTGTGCAAAGATTTGAAAAAACAGGAAAACTGAGTCCAAGATTTATAGGACCTTTTGAAATCATAGAAAGAATTGGAAATCTGACATACAGATTGGATCTACTAGTGCATATGCAAGAAATTCATAATGTGTTTCACATATCAGTGCTTCGAAAGTATGTCTCAGATGATTCAAAGAGAATCCAGTCCAAATCAATTGACTTGCAACCTGATTTGAAATATGTTGAGGAACCTGAACGAATACTGAATTATGATGTAAAACTGTTGAGGCATAAGGCAATACCTTTTGTGAAGGTTTTGTGGAAGCATGGATCAGAAAGAGATGCCACCTGGGAGAAAAAAATCAGAAATGAAAAGTTAATATCCTGATCTCTTTAACTAAGGTACGTTTCCTTTTCCTTGCTTTAATTTCGAGGACGGTTCAACTAAATCGAACCGGCCGGCCTATCCTATTAAATCGCAAGCAGGCCATTCGCGAAACAGAGGGCGGGCAACTGAACGTTTGCGAGAACGATTTTTGGAGTTTCGATTCATCGTTTTTAGCTGTCCAACGTGTTTGGGGATAAGATTTAGCGACTCCTCTCCTTTCCTATTATTAAGAAATAAGAAGTGATAAATTTGGGGAGAATTTGCGACGAATGAGAGGAACCATCAAGAGGGAGAAGGAAGGAGGTTTGTAAAAATTTTTCTTTCCTTTTTCTTATAAATTGTCTTAGGTTATTTCATCTAAACCTAGATACACTTTTCATAGAAGAAAAGAAAGGAATTGAAGGCAAGGTGTAGGATTTTGGAGAAGGAAGAAGAATTTAGAGATTCTCAATTATAAGTGATTTTTCTGTGGTAAAATTTTAGTTAAATTTTTATAATTAATTATTTCTTATGAAAGTTATATTCTATGGATTTAATGAATAAGAAAGAAGGAAATCAAATTGTAGAAGTTGGGTTCTTCAAGGAATTCAACAATAAAGTAAACCTGTTGCAAGGTACGAAAGAAATCCAAAGTTTATTGAGATATTTAAATTGAGATTTAATATTTCTTAAAATTATTTTAGTTTTGTGAACAGTTAAAGGCTTTCAAAACTACACGATTATTGGAGGAGCAAATAAGTGTGTATTTATAGAAGTTTAAATTTTCTTTATGTCATTTTCTACTTTTATCGTGAAAGAAGTAGATATGTAATTGTTCAGACTTATGTTTTCTTTTACTGTTGGAAATGATTTCCTGAAATAAGTAACGGTATGTACAAATGCAAATATGTGAAAGAAAATGATATGTAGAAATAAGTATGTCAAAGAAATAAAAAATAAAGTTTAGAAAACAATCATACATATGTATATGATTCGTACATGCAAATAGAATTCAAACAAAAAGTATATATATATATATATATATATATGAATTATGCATGAATGAATGAAAAATAAATGAAAAAGGAAAAAGGAAAAAGGATAATATGATATGCATTAATTGATTGAAACGAATAAAATGAAGTTAAGGGAAATGAATAAAAGAAACATATATTAAACGTTATTTGTAATGTATATTTTATTTTTCATGATTAAATTTTTATCGTTACCCACCGAGTTTACTTAGTAAATTCAACCCACGAATTTAAATGTTTCAGGTAAGCCCCTAAAGAAAAGAAATGACTGAAAGAGAAGAACTTGTTTATAGAAGATGACGTACAAATGACAACAGATAAAACCATTGATGAAAATGATTACTTTTGATATTGATTGATTTATAGTTTTTGTGATTAGTGACTGTTCAGTTTATTCAAAAGTTTTTGTTAATATGATTTTATTTGAAATTGAGATGAAATTGTAATACCGTCCGACTTTCAGTACCCGCCTCGTTAAATCGAGTATTAGGGCTGGGTCGTGACAGAGAGCACTCATGAAGAATGTAACTGGATCAGGAACATTGCAAGAGATGCTAAATTCATAAAGAACTTCATCATAAATCTTTTAACGAGGCTTTCAACTTTCAATAAATTTTTGAAGTTAAAACTATTAAATATAACAACTTGTTTTACATCAATAATCATTATCTTGGGCTATTCAAATTATAAAATACGGATTACAAATCATAATAATTAGTGGCAAGTAGAGCACGTATCCAGAAGATGGTGTTGATTAGGCTAAGTTTGTGAGGGAGAATAAATTGGATGATTTATAGTGAGAAAATATGGATTATTTTATTTCTTTTATGGAGCCAATGTATGAGATGTTAAGAGTAGCTACTACAAACAAGCCTTGTCTCCACGTTATATATGATATGTGTGAGTTTGTGATTTAAAATATGAAAGGGGTATTTGTTAGACCGGTCCACTGGACCGGTCCAGCCGGTCCGCACGGGACCGGCTCAGACGCGAAATGTCGCGTGATCTCCGCCTCCTGCGGAGATCGAGCGGCCCGACCAGCCGAAGAGATCATTTTAGGAAGCGTTTTTTAGCGTTTTGAGAGGGAAATTTGAATGTAGGGACTGTTTAGGGATTTCCTTTTGATTTGTATGCATTAAATAGTAGATTTTCCTAGGGTTTGGGCATCTTGAATTTGGGCTGAAATTTGAGATCTCGTAGATTTAGGATTTCTTTGGGCTCTAGCGGCGTCTAGAGATTTGGGAGAGATCGATCCTCCTCTCGAATTGAGGATCAATTGTATCTTGCTCTTTTATTCATCGTCTAAGTGGAATACAAGTCTTTTCTTGAGTTTTCTATCCTATTTTCCCGGACAAGTGCTGTTTTCCTGCTGTAAACAGCAGAAATCTGCTGTTTTCCTGCTGTGGACAGCCATTTGGCTGCCGTTGGTTCGCCGATTTTGGATAGGTTGCTTGTGAATACAAGCACTTCCTATCAGTATTATATCAACATGAATGAAAGAGAGAAAATGAATCACCCGTTTATAAGGTGGTGTATGACCATTTTTTGCAAAAGTGGAATGAAAGCAACACTTCTCTTTATTGCTTAATCCATTTTCTTAATTCAAACCAGTGTTTAATGCTTTAGGCCTCATAGCCATTTATCTTAATTATTAGTTGCATTCTTTATTAAGTATTATTGTCATCTTGGCTTAGTGAAACTTTAAATCATTTTGCTCCACATAAAGACATGGAGGTATCAAATGAGAGTAACAAATATTTGAAGAATTTTTTTTCCAAATATTAAAGATAGAGCAATATTGAATTTGGAGTTTGTTTACTCTTTTTTTTTTTGACTTTGTGATGCTTTTACTTCTAAATGAGAGGGCTGATTGGGTGATTTATGGTGTTAGTTCCCCACAAGGCCATAGTTATAAAGGCTGGCTTCTAAATTTCTAGCACAACCATATTTCTCATTTTATTGTGAAAGAAATTGGTGTTCATATTCTTTTCTCAATTTACTCAAGAGGAACAAGATCACTCGACGAGATGAATATTTGGTATATGCGCACGCAAATCTCCACCTTTTATCTAGGAGCCCAAAATATACTTGAGGAACTAAGTTGTATAGCGTTGGTGTTGATGTATTTACTACAGTGGATATCATTGGAATGCTTGAAGCTACTAATCTCTCTGTTGAAGAGCTAGCTTTGAAAACTATGTTTTATCTCATTGAAATATTGTGTTATTGAAGAAGGTACTGGTGCTTGTGGTGATGATGTATGTGGTATTAAGTGTATTAACTTGAATCAGTGATGCACTATCAATATGCTCATATATTAATATTTGGTTTGATTATTTCGAAGAGGGCATTAATGTTACTCATTTTTTAGATTTTTTTGACATTTTTTAGACAACATTATGACAGTAAAATATATGGCAGTGAGTTCTTCTGAATGCTAATATTAGTGTGTTATTGATAAATAACAATTATTGGAAGTGATAGATTTTGAAATTTAATCATAATTAACAATGTTTATTCTTTTTTTACTATAGGTAAGCTTCATATGTGAAGTATATGATATTATACTTCATTCTTTAATAATTTTAATAGAAGATACTACTATCAGGTATTTGAAGTACTCAATTAATATTAATAATTTAGTAAAAAGAACCATGTGTTCATGGTGTGTTGTGTCCGTATTCATACATCATAGAGTAATTGGAACATGATAGAATAAAGAAACATTCTCTCACTTTGTGGGCTCTTTAATATGCTATGCCAATGTATTTTTCATGTCTCCCGGAAAACTCTTAACTGTCATTCCTTTTTCTTTGAAGATAGGAAGATAAAATTAAAATTGTATGTGTTCGCAGATGCTCCATTGGGTCTTCAAACATGCACGAGAAAGAATTTTTTGATTGCTTATTGTTTTCACCTTTCTATTTAGACAAGTGTGCTGAAAATTGTCTTGGCATAGTTAATTGCTTAGATTTGGCTTTACTGATAAAAGGACTTGAAGCAGTTTTGTACTGTTGATTAACTAGTTTTCTTTGACAGATTCCTTCGCTTCCAAAATATACTGCATCAACTGTGCTAAGGAGTCTGAAAAGCTATGCTCAGGTATCCTAAAAACTCTCTGTTTTTTGCGTTGAAGGTTTATCATCCTTTTTGATTAAATTATGTTATGCTTCCATTCTTTTTCTTAATAATATGAATGCATCTCACATTCTTGGCCTTCCCTTTTACTTGGCTTTGTAGTTTCCATGCTTTCAAATTACGAGCAATTTAGTCCATTTTTTGTTTTCTTCTTGGAGTTAGTTGTTCATGATTTACTGCTAGGCCTTTGATTATGTCCTGTGATTATGTTATCAATTAAGATTTGAGGAACAACTTGTAGGACGATATGCACTTGTAAGTAGGAAAGATTTGCATATTGTTCCTTCTTGTATGCTCAATGCTGCAATGATTACTTGAATTTGCTGATGGAGAGTTTAAGTGTTAGCAGAAAATAATGGTGCTGAATCATAGGGCAGCAGACCAGCGAAGTAGTAAATGGCATCAGTGTGATGTAAGAGGGCATTATTGGATGTAGTTACGGTGGAAGAAGTGATGATGCTGAAAGTGGAGGGTTTTTTTTTTGGTCATGCTAACATAGTTATGGGAGAAGATATTGGAAGCCATGATTTTTGTAGCAGAGTACTTTCTCTTGATGAAAATTACCTTAGTGAAACCTTATTGAATGCATAGTTTGAATTTATTGATTTGATAAATGGCTCACATATTTGTTGGGCTGGAATGTTAATTTTAGTGTAAATGCAGGGATCAAATTGCAGATCTTTGAAATCTAATTGAGCAAATTGCAGAATGATGGATCCAAAATGTACATGTTTACTTTTCATGTATCATCCTCAATTTCGCTGATTGATATTGACAAGAATCTTTTTGCACATTTCCTATCGATGTTAGCTTTGGTTCACCACTTTTTCTTTGTAGTGTCCTTAATTTTATTTACCCGCTTGGTTGATATTTTTTTCTGCTCTTTTTTGTACATGCTTGAACCATCTAAATCTATTTTTGTTCTATATTATTTTCAACATCTTTTACTGTTTGGGCCCCTATTATATAATCCTTTGTCAATTTATATTTTTTTGTTTTGCCACAAATCCATCTTGATTAGCCTTTTTTTTATTTACACTCAGCTTGGCTTTTTGCATATAATATATCTGGTATATAAGCACAATTTTGCAAAACTTTCAATTAGGCCCTTTTTATGTTTTTCTCTCTCATAATTCTCTCAAGGCATTTTTTCAATTTAACCGCTTACCGTTTAAATTGGAAGTTATATCCTTATCTATTTTTTATTCTTCTGCATAATGAATACAAGATTGGTTCATATCAAGCCTTACTATTACTTAATCATTAATAATATTAATTGATAATTCTTAAATTTTCACTTAATAAAATTACATATCATATGCTGAAACTTTGTTCTATAAATCCTTTGTCTCCTATCTTTTGAATATTTTTCTAATTTTTATCTTCTTATTAGTTTTGGTAGAGTTTTCACTAACTATAGTTATGTTATATGCAATGAACTTGTGCAATAGTCCACATTTGGAATGTTATTTTTTAGTATTTTCATTATTTAAAAAAGGTACAAACTTGATGTTGATTCTTAGTGTGGTTATATTGTAATTTAGAACTCACTGACAGCTAGTTCTAATGATAATCAATGCTCCATTATAATTATATATATATATATATATATATATTTGCGTAGCAGTGTCAGGGCAATTCAAAAGGCAGTGTTAGGGCAAAGACTAAATTTCATGCCATCTATTATATTAGTAGAACTTTAAATGAATCACAAATCAATTACACCACCTTTGAAAAAAGAACTGCTAGAAAAAGTGTTTGCATTTGATAAATTCAGATCAGATTTGATTAACCCAAAAGTCATTGTCAAAAATGTGATTCGCTTTTTTGCAAATAGTGTTATGCAAGTGCACGTGCCATTCAAGTAATATAATGATTGAGTATCGTTTTCATAGAATATTGATATGCTAATTTTTATAAGTACTAATTTCTTCAACCATAAGATTTATCTTGCCAAATGATTAGTTTTAAAGATGCCAAAGAAAATAGGTCAATAACTTTTTAGACTTTTTCAAATTAAAATGAGTTTTCAATGTATGATGGATTTGGTGACTGTGTGATGTAAATCAGTCCATCTATTTTAAATTGTGGGGATCAGAGCTCAATTTATTTCTCATTTCTGTCAAGTTTGTTAGAGTTCTAATAAATGTATAATTAACTCTGGTTAATCATACCTTTACTTCATGACACTCATCTTCTTAGAGATCCCAAAATCCTGAAAACCAGGTCTATACATTTTCAGAATTTTATCCATGTCCTTGTTGTTCCACTATGCCTCCATCAAAGTCATAGATCACACCGACTTTTAAACTTGAGGATGGTTAATCCACTATTAAATTAAGTATGGAAGAGCACAAAATAATCTTTCATCACAGTTTATAACTTAGACCTAAATTAGGTTACACATGTCACTACACATCATAAATTCATAATGAAATTTTTTTAGCAACTAAATTCTATTGGAATACAAACAAATATAAACTTCATTGATAAGAAATTGGAAGTATCTGAAATCAAGTCAGAAAGAGCTAAAAATTGCTTTGTAAGGAGTACAAGTTCCTCTCCACTCAAGAGCACTTCTCTTCGACTTTCACACCCTCTCTCCTTCCCTCTCCAGATTGGTGAATGAACACAAGAAAATTACACCAAATAGCTCCCCCAAACATGTACAAGAAACTAAAGGAAAAAAAAAAAAAAAACAAACAAAAACAAAAACAACAAAATAGGACTCTCTCTCACTATTCTACTTCCTCCTCTATTGCTGCATTAGGACCATTTTAAGGTATATATGCTGGAGCTGTTGGAAAATGGATTGGATCTGGACTGCATTGAAATTATAGTTCTTGAACATCAAAATCAATGCTAAGTTAAAATAACCAGCATATTGGAACTGCCTCTATTGTTGGTCCTTCATGTGCTCCATCCTATGATAAAGTTTTTGTTCCGTCCCCTCTATCCTCTGATGCATCCCCTACACTTGATTCTTGAGATCAGACGCTTGATCTCCTAGGGGGCTCTAATCCTAGGCTGACTAGGCTGGCTAAAACTCTCACCAGGCTCCCTATTAGGAATCTTAAAATTTTGTACCTTATTTTTTATAAGAGGACCTCTAAGGAAAAATTGCTCCTCCCTAGGATCTCCTAAGACTCTTACTTGGGCACACAAGGAATAAACAAAAGAGGAATGCCCAAATCCTATAGAAGTTGCCCCTTTAATCATGTTCCAAAGGGACTAATAAATTATTTTACCTACATCTGTACTTATTACTTTTTTAGTAGCAAAATTTATGAATGCTCTATCTTTAGTCACCTCACTAATATTCCTATTGGACATCAACCTAGTAGAAATGAAATAATGCGAGACTTTTGCTTCTAAAATCATAGCAAATGCATGAAAGTTCATTATTCTATCCTTCTTAATCTCTGTTGGGCATTCGTATTTAGTTCAGTAAAAAACTAAGGATCTCATTAGAATCTAGAGGGCATGAATAAAAACAGAGTCATCAAACTCTATATTTATGTTATCATATAATTTATTAATTCAAACACTATCTGCTGGAACCCACTTCCCCCTATCATACACTTCATTGTTTTGGGGCTCCTTTACATTAGCGAAGAATTTCCTAACATTAGGAAACTATACAAACAAAGGGATCTTAAAATTTTTCCCAACCCTTCTTTAACAAAGGTAAGCTCTATATGAGCCACTGAACTCCTCAATTCTCTCTCTGTGATTATGTGTTTGTGAACTATTGAATGATTATATCTATCTTCCGCTTTTGCGCTCATTAATTTGTGGGAATTGTAAGAGTTGGTGCCCCTCCTCTTCTTAGATGTGATATTAGGTGCCATCTCTTATTACAAGATGCAACTAAAAAGCTCAGGAATTTTAAGGAAATCTGAATGCAATAAAATGAACGTACCTCTGCCCCTAATTATAATTTGGCCAAACGCTGCGGCACTGAGTGCTCTAATGCCGCAGTGCTCAGCAGTCAGACCAACAGTCAAATGATAATTGAATGCATGGTCAAAAGTCACTATAGTGCTGTGACACTTGGTATTAGACAATGTTGTGGTGCTTCGCTTTAGGACTTGAATTGACAGGCTTTTTTTAACTAATTAGCGCCACGACATTTATCGCGTGCCAGTGTTGCCTCATTGAAAAAGATCAACAACCATTTCTCAATGACTACAAAAGCTCAATATAAATAACTTATTGCCATTGTCCTCTTTCAAAAAGATGGACAAAAGCATTTTCCTAAAGGCAACTTGTGGCAATGACCACAAGACAAAAGTTTAATCAAAGAAAAATGTTAGGAAACTGATGTAATACATGAAGATGGTCCTATCACTAGAGCAAGATCACATGAAACTCAATCCATGAAAAAACCATGAAGGCTTACATCATTTTGTATTGTTTTTTTAATGTATTTTCATGCTATTGTGTTATTAAATGTTGTGTGGATGACATCGTGTTGTAATTTCCTTTGCTAGAGATCAATGGATGTAATTTGCTTTGTTAGTGCTTAATAGGTTAGGTCCAAGTGATGGAAAACGATGCAAGGACCAGCTATGCTCTTGTGCATGAGACAAGGTAGTGGTTGTAGGCGGTTGTTAGTTGACAGAATCAAGCGGACGACCCCTCCCTCTTCTCCTTTTCACTCTTTATTTTGAATTTAAATAAAGGGGTGTGTCCCTTCATGTAGTTTCAGTTGTATAAAAATTTCTTAGACTGAAATGAAGAGATAGATTGGTTGCTTATATGTTTTGGAGAGAATTATCCAAGATTTTTGGTAGCTTGGTGGCCGATGAACTCAAGGGGATGATGGGGTGATCCTCTTGAACCACTACTCTGATGAGTAGCATTTTAATTTTCATGCAATTTTCCTTACAACAATCTTTTGTAATTGTGTTCTTCTATTTGTAATCCAACAACAACAATAACAACAACAACAACATCAAGCCTTTATCCCACTACGTGGGTTTGGCTACATGAAAGATCTCAATCTTATTCCATCCATCTTAATCCAAGTGAATTCCTAGTTGTTAGGGTTGGCTAGGTTTTTAAAAATTGCTAGACTAGTTTCACCCTTGAAAGCATTTGAACAACCTAAACTCCTCAAGACTCTACCAAAATTTCTAGATATTTAGTACACATCTTATACTTTAATAATAATAAATTGATTTGGAGTTGTTGTAGTTAAAATTCTGGAGAACAATTCAGTCCTATTTGTATTTCATGTTTGCTATTTTATTTATGTAGCCAATTTTTAGTTAACAAAAAATTATCAAAACACCAAAATAATTAAAAAAGGTAATCTTTGTATTTTGGACTTAGTGATATTTCTTTAATGAATTCTTATTTTCCATAGGCAATTTTTGTGGATAGATTATATTCTTTATGCAATTCCATAACTACTAATTAGTTGCCTTCACATTTTGATCTATCCATCAACCTTAAACTTACCCAACCCTGCTTGACTTGAGAGCAACCAAATAAGTGGAGTGATTTACTAAATCGTTTAAAACCTCACTTTGATTCCTTTTAACATTAGAAATCCTACTTTGAATAATTTTGGAATTTATTCTAATTCTAGTTTAGTTATTTTGTGTTAGTTTATTTTTCATTGTGATTTGCAAATTTGTGAATACTTAGAAGTAATTTTTTTTTTAAATCATTTGCATGCATTTTATTTAAATCAGAAGGTATTTCATATTAAAAATAACCAAATACTAATAGGAGGATACATGCATTGACTCTTAAAATTGATGAAAAGTATAACAAACTTCAAGAGCTTATTTTGAACTTAACAACTTAAGTTCAAAATTTGAGTGTTAGAGTTCAAACACCTACTCTAGCTCAAAATCTATTGAAATCGAAACCATAGGAGATGACTGCTTGAAAAGCATAGAGAGCACATTCAATCTAAAAAAGGTACCTTTTGGGAATTTCTATAGAAATGATCAACCTAAGAATCATAAAGCCTTAATTAAACCCCAAAAGAAGGTTAAGATAAATGCTCCTACTTATGATGGAGTTCATGACCCCAATATGTTCTTAGATTGGCTTACACAAACGGATGAATTTTTTGATTGGTGCCAAATGAATGACTATAAAAAAACTGCCATTGCTAAAATGAACTTGTTGGCCTTGAAAAAATAATTAGACCAAAGTTTTGATTTAGGAATAAAAGTTAGGTAGATGGCATCTTATTGGGGTAGAGATGAAAGAAATACTAAGGGCTAAGTACTGTCTTAGAAACCATGTTAAGAAAATACATGAACAGTTGATGATCCGTAGGCAAGATAATCAACAAATGGTAGAATATATAAATATATTTGTGGAAATTAGCTAACAAATTTACTATATGTCTTGGGAGTGAGATTAGATATGAGAGAGAGAGAGTTACATGACCTTCAAATCCAAAAAGATGCTTTTCATTATAATTTACTCCCAGAGAAGCATAAGAGGGCGACTTCTTCATCTAGAGCTAGAGATCCAAACTCATCTCTTGAATCATTCTCATATTTTTCCCATAGGTCTACGATTAGACCGACACTCTTTTTTTAGTGCTTAGCCAAGTCAAAGTACACCTAAGTCATCCTCTAAGATTAAGGATATCATATATTTCAAATATCACTAGAAAGGTCATATAGAGCATTAGTGTAAGGCCAAGATCATGTCTTCAATGAAGCTGAACAAGAATTAGAAGAAGAGAAAGTGGATAATGAGGCAGAGGAAAGTCATGATGATGCTCCTTTTTCTACAGAGAAAGTTGAGCATGTGGGAGATCCTTTAGATGTGATGAGATGTTTATTTGCATCTAGGGGATAGGAGGATTGGAGAAGGAAAAATATTTTCTTCATATATGTCATATGCAAAGAAGTGCAAAATAGTTGTAGATGGAGGAAGTGTGATCAATGTCATGTCTACCCATGCCATCACTAGACTAGGCCTTGAGACTAAACCCCACCCAAAGCCTTTCCATGTGAGCTGGGTGAACCAGACATCACCTATCACAATTAGATGTTTAATGCCCTATAATAATGAAACCTATGTTGATCATATATGGAATGATGTACTTCCTATGGAGATCACTCATATCTTCTTAGGAAGGCCTTGACTTTATTACCTAAGTGTCATTCATTATAGTAGAGAGAATACTTGTTTTCAAATTCAATGATAAGATCATAAAGCTATTTCCTATAAAACCCATAGGAAGAGGCCAACCACACCTCTCCATAGATTTCTAACTGCAATTTTATAATTTAAAGTTATAAATTATATCTAAATATATAATATAAAAGTAATTAATTATATTAAATCTATAACTATTATGTGAACTAACTTTATGTTAAAGGTGAATTAAATTTAAAGATCGAATATATTTAAATTTAAAGTTATAGAATATATCATTTTAATATGAATTTATTTGTTTTCATTAATAAATTTACATTATTTCATAATTATTATATCATTATTATGTCATTTAAGTATTATTTAAGTAATTGAATTTTTATTACATCATTTGGTTCACGTCGGTCGAACCATTGAATCTCGAACCTTTTTTCCTTTCAGTTTTATATCCGTTACAGTTTTCACAACCTTTGTTGAACATTTTGGTGAGATGATATGCTTTAGCCTTCTTTCAAGCGTTTAAAGAACATTTCTAATTTTTATTTAACAAGCGTTTAGCCTTCTTTCTTTGCAATTCTTCTGTCAAAAAGTTATATTTGACACAGATTTGATTTTCAGAATTTAATTATGCTGATATGCTTTTACTTAAATATGAAAGAAAAATTTTCTTTTTGTTGTGTTGAAGGCCCTGTGATTAGTTGTATAATGTTTTTTAGTAGATGCTACTTGAAGTAATACAAGAACACATTAGTTTGTCGCAGACTAGCTAAATCAGAGTCCATTCCAATATTTATATGCATGTTTTGTTTTGGAGAGCCTAGCATTTGACAGAAGTTTCATCATGTTCTTCCTTTGGCAGCCGTATGTTGGTTTGGCTAGTTCGTATGCAACAGGAAAATTTTCAGAGCTAGAAGCATTTATTCAGACTAATGTGGAGAAGTTCCAAACTGTGAGTGTCCATTCGTTTTCTTATCATTTCTTTCTTAGAACCCTTACAAAATTATCATTCATTTCTCAATTTTTATAATCCTATGGTTATTTTTATTTTTATTTTATATTGATTGTGGAGATGCTTATAAAATATATTCAAATATTTATAGAAGTGGTAGAGGAATTAAACACATTTGCAGGACATCTAATGTGAAATTGTAGAATAATTGAGGGAATTTTTAGAAATTAAGAGGCTTTGGGATTATCAAATAAAGATTCAGGGCATGATATATAAGTTAAAGGACACTATTATCAGACAATGTTCCAAAAAATCCTTTGATCATATTTTTGATAAAGTTAAGTTTTTTTGGGTCTATTTGTAAGAGAATATGGATAAAGATGGGGATAATTTTTAGAACTAAATTGGGTGGTTTCCTATCATGTTGTCAATTTGATATCAAAGGCAAAGTTCATGAATTTAACATTAATTTTAAGTTAAAAATTGCTATAGATGAAGAAATATCCATGGCCATTCATGACCTCTAGCCTTGCTCAACCATCATCTTACACTTTCTCCTATCATATAATACCTTTCTTATACACACTCTCTCCTTTTCATCTTTCTTACTCCTATCTCTTCCGGTTGTTTATTTCTTTGTTATTTATCTCTAGTATTTTCCTTATTTCTCTCCCTAATAAAAATCCTTCACACTCTACCCCACACATGTTGATTTATAGTTTTTTTTTTCTATTGTTTCATTCATCAACTCTCACTTTGTATCTCTTCAAAAGCCACAATACTTCATCCATCTCATCCTTTGCTTGCCTGCAACTAGCAAAGCCACACATATCGTACATCAATTCTCACTATTTGCACATATGTGCATCATTACTCATCATTTTTTGCTCTTGCTCACATTATATCTGAGGAGGTTTAGAATTATGCAATTGGATATTAGTCATTTTTTATTCATGAGGTGGGTTGTAAGCCTCAAATTAAAAAAAAAATGAAAACTTAAGTAACATTTTAACATCAAAGTATGATCACTGTAAGTCAAAATATGTTCATAAAAATAAATTTCTTCTAATTCAATATAAATAAATAATCTCAGTTATTAATTTATTATTTTTTAATTCAGAGTCGCACTTAAACTCATCGCTTGGTGGGTCTTCATTAGAATCATCATTATAATGGAATGCTTTCTCTTTTACCTTATTCTTAGTTGTGTCAACATCCTTGCAATCATTCTCATGTTCGATTTCATTCATCTTTCTTTTCCCTAATTAAAAAAAATAATAAAAAATAATAATTAAATTATAAAAAATCGATGTTATAATTGCTATTACAGAAATTTTATGTTAATCCTTTTTGTTACTTTTTTTTTTTACTTGTGTTATTCTTATTCCTTCCTCCATCAAAGAATTCAACATTGAGATCTTCTTCTTGTGATTTTAATTATTTAATTTTATTTTCATCATCCATAAATCATTCATCATTTGTTGGCACATAATTATGAACTAATATGGGTCTACATAATCTTCCAAAATTGTCTTTTTTTCATATGTTCATCTTTTATTATCTTGTTGTACATGTTTTAATCCAATGAGTTCTTCCTTAAGATAGTAAGATGGTTTCTCCTCTTTGAACTTAGTGTACACCAATTTCATTCACACCCTATTGAAGAGCATGTAAAACCCAGTACTTTTATTACAAAATCTTTATAGTTCAGGAGTGCTATGTCTAAAGTGAAGCCATTACTCAACTAATATTTAAAAAAAACACAATTAGAATAGTATATACATTTTGTGAAATTCAATCAATAAATGTGGAAATTTACCTGGGGAACATTTTGATACTATGTCTGACTTTTTATAATCCAAAGAAATCTTCTTTTTAGAAGCAACCAGCTAAAGATCAATCTTCGATCTTTTAGTTGAGTTATTGATTTGGCTATTCATATAGTGGTACAAACCAAATTTGAGATTTGAGATTGGTTGACTTTTTATTAGCATATTAATATTGATAATTCAATTAGTAATCAGTGGCGTGCAATTATTGATGCAGATGAAGCTATCATTTCTCATTTATGATTTCGTAAAATTTCTTATAGTTGCACTCATCTCTTCCAAAGTTCTATGCTATCAATTCTTTTGCCTTTATCTATTGCATTATAAATACAGCCCATAGCTTGTTTCTTAAACACATTAACCATTTTTAAAGCATGAACCAACGGCTTAGTAGTTGTGATAACATGTCACCCTTGGCCAAAATATCTCACTCAAAATAATCTCATTGACTTCTTTACCTTGAGGTTTCTTAGCCCAAACATAATTTATCTATGTGAAGGCGAACAAAACCTTCAAAGATTGCTTGGTTCTAGTATGTTTTGTAAAGTAAATGTGTCATAGTAAATCTAGAAGAATGAAATCTAAATTTTTTTATGAATACTGCCCAGAGTCTTATAATTTAATTTTTGAAGATGGAATCAAGTCTTTTCTTTTGGCATCCCTGTAGGATTGATTGTCCATTCTAAAATTTCTTCATACATTCTTCCTCTTTATCTTATATCACTCTTCCTTGAGGCATTTGTTTGACTAATCTCTGAAATTCCCTCTTTATTTACCTGGTTCTTCCCCTATACTTGATTCTTCTCTCCATAGCAAATCATACATTAAAAAAATCAAAAGAAATCCTCAATTATTTTCATTCCTGTTGCTTGTTGTCGGCAATGATTCTATAAGGGATATGATGTAAGTATACTAATATAAGATAATATGGTGGAAAATAAACTTGTGATTTGGCATTTACTACTTATAGCAGGAGATAAATTTATAAGATAAATATATAAAATAAGGATAAACAATGAAGAATGAATGCAGAGCTTTAGTTAAATCTGGTTAAAAGATGTGTGGATAGGCTTGCACGAAATAGAGTCAACACAATGTGGCAAATAATAAAAATGTGGGAGAAAGATTTATAAAGCTGACCCCTTGGGATGGTTCAATGATTATGCTGTCATATTTTTGGTGATTACATTTTTTGTTCGTTACCATAATTTTACTGTTGGCTGTGTTTTCTAGCTGTTTCCATCTACCTTTATTATTTCATTCATTTCTTCGCATCATGCTTGGAATAGCCCTTCTTTTTAACTTCGTTATGTTTTGGATTGTTACAAGAAAATATGGTAGGTTTATGAAGTATATTAGTATTTTCAACAGGATCCTCATTTTACGTTGATGACATTTTATTCACGCATATGCTCTTTCAGGACAATAATCTTGGATTGGTTAAACAAGTTCTTTCATCTTTGTACAAGCGCAATATCCAGAGGTTGACTCAAACTTACCTAACTTTGTCACTTCAAGATATAGCCAATGCGGTTCACCTAAACACCTCAAAAGAAGCTGAAATGCGAGTGCTTCAAATGGTAATTTTCCTTGTATTATATTTGTGCAGTTTGTTATAAGTTTCTGGCCAGTTTCTGAAGCTATGATTCGTTTCCTTAAATCTAGATTCAAGATGGGGATATATTTGCAACAATTAATCAGAAGGACGGTATGGTCAGTTTTCATGAGGATCCAGAGCAATACAAAACTTATGAGATGATTGACCAAATTGATTCATCAATTCAAAGGTAAGGAAACAGCTTCTTAATGATCAAGGTGTTAGTGGGACATCAGAAAAAGTCACATTTCTGGAAATTACTTGTTACATATGTAAATTATAATATGAACAAAGAACTATTACAAGTCGAAGGTCTGTCTCATATTTGCCAAGTGTAAAATAGTATGTGTTATAGCTTAGTGTAATAAGATGCACCTCACCACTGCGACTATTGAAAGACACAAAGGATCAAATTAGCATATGCTATTTGCCCTATAAGTTATATAGATTATGATGGGAGCAAAAAGAGACTTAAACTAAGATTGCAAACAAAGTTGACTTCCTTACCATAGACATTGCAAACTTAAGCTAGCATCATTAGAAAATAAAAACACACCATTTCAAACTCATAATAAACATGACATAACAACACCTTATAATATAAAATAAAAGGGACACAACACCTAAAATGACAAACTACAAATACGACTCAATGACAACTTACAACTTTTTGTAGTTTGAGAAGAAAGATACAATGGAAGGGTTACCATTCGAGAGAAGAATGAGATTAGAAGTCCAAGACGAATTATAAGAGGAGAAAGGGATAGAAGACTAGCTCGCAAGCTAAAAAAGATCCTCAGGTTTTTGCTCCAAAAATCATCACATATTACTTCTTAAATAGCAGCAAAACAACCCCCTTAAATAGGGAAAAAGAGCTTAAAAGTCACTCAAGCAGGTGCCCAAAACAGCCAACCAGAACAAGGGAAAACCCAATAGAAAAGGCACGACAGCACCACAAACCGAACAATCAGGAAAGGAATAGCCAGGAGCCGATCAACCACCAAGAAAGGAGCTCGACACACAAGAACCCAGCAATCAATGCCAAAAAAGACAACCCCCCAATTAGCCCCAATCCTCCAAACACCAAATAGCCAAAGAATAATAGGCCAAGCCCATTTAGATGAAAATCCGCCCACAAATAATTATCAAGGAACCAAGGAAGCTAGCAAACTAAAGGTTTGCCTACACTAGATTAGCACATGGCACTAATAGTGTGATGAAAAATATTATGTAGAAGATGACAATGATGAGGAAAATGAGGATATTTCGACCTATATAGTGATCATGTTTCAAAGCATTATCAGTTAGTTTTTATTTTGAATTTGAATATGGGTTTTATGAAGAAACAAAAGCATAATCTTATTTCAAAATTCAAATAGTTGGGATAAGGTTAATGATGATGATATAAACCTATATTTTAATATTCTTCATTTTTTATTATTATGTATTGTTATAATCATATGATAGTTTTTTTCTTCAAGTTAATCCTTACACTTGTATCATATTGCGCAACTCATTATTGATAAATATGATTTGTCTATCTTTGAGTACCTTCATAATGGAATCTGTATGGCTGATATCTTCTAGTTTGTCAAGAAAAAATTATCATTATTTATTATCATGAAAAAAATGCATTTTGTCTATTACTAAACTAAAATTTCACTTGAATTTGGCTCAGTCTATGTGAGCTGAGTTTCAAGCTCAATTCGCATGAAATCATATTGAGTTTATTTTGATCTTTGATCTAACTCGAATATGATTCCAATTGCTTATATATTAAACTTTCATATTAGTAGGCCAAACAAGTGTTGAATATTTTAAAATCAAACAAGCATTGAAAATTCAATTTCAACCTGAGTGAATCTTGATTGGAGTCAGATTGATATCATACCTATTAGAGACTGCATGAAAAGTCAAAGTGCCAGTTTCTTTGTAATTGATTACTTGGGTCCTTCATTTTCAAAATTAAGACAAAGCATTCGTCAACTACTGTTATTGTCTTTCAGACTCTTAATTACCATAGCACGTTTTCAATAATTTTCATAGTAACCAACTTGCTGAGTATGATGAAAAATTCTTGATGGATTTGGTGCATTTATGTACTTCATGGGGTTAAAATCCATTAAGGTGGCTTTACTTGTGCTTTTAGATTGATGGCCTTGTCAAAGAAACTAACTGCAATAGATGAACATATTTCTTGTGATCCGGCCTACATTACAAAGGTAGAACCCTTCATTCATGACTGTGTTTTGTATTTTTTTTACTTAGGATAAAACTTCTGCTGATGAACTTTATGTTATTGCTCCAGATTGGGAGAGAAAGACCTAGATTAGACTTTGATGACTTTGATTCCGTTCCTCATAAATTCCTGTGAGGATGATTTGGGATTGTTAAACTATCTTAAGAAACATGCTGGATCGAAGGAGCCTCCCATTGGGTATGTTTCTTTTGTTGCAAGGATCTTGATAGTTTATTAATAGGCATTACCACTCTTTGTTCTTGTCCTGAACTGCAGGCCATTATATTGATATAAGCCTTTTTTGGGACTGTTAGAGGTCTTATTATATGCTTTGTCTTATAAGAGTAAATAGAAGATGAATGTTAGTAATTTTCAAAGCTATATAATCACATATTGGAGTAAGGATTGATGTTGTGTGAGTGAGTTTTCTATTTTTGCAGCTCATACAACATGACTAATATAGCGCTTGATTCCAATGGAAATTTTTATTATTTTGACTCAACATAAGTGCTTTCTTCTTTTCACATGGTAATACCAATTGCTGGTATATGAAATGAATAAAACATTCCCTTGAACTGGGAATACTCACAATATATTTCACATTTTTTTATTTAGTCTGTATAGGAGATTTGAATAATTGTTTAGGATTTATTAGGGATAGTTTTTTTGTTGCTTTGCTTTTCAGACAATAATAATAATTTTATTTGATTATCATTTTTTTATTATTTTTCAAAAAATTGTAGTAAGAAGTTATTTCTTACAATCAGAATTGTAAGTTGCTTTCTTCAGAACAACTTTATGATCAACTTAATAGAAAACTGTAGCTATTCCAGACATTTAGTAGTAGAATTTAGTAAGTGTAGTTATCTTTTATACTTATGCATGGATTTCTGAAGCATACAGTTGCATACTCCTTATTTATTTCAATTTATTTTGATGTGGCTCTTATGTTTTTGATTTGTACATTAAAAAACAGAAATATATATATGAAATACATGACTGCATACTATCATCTACACAAAATAAAACTCTATATGTAATCTGCATGTTATAATTTATTGCATATTAGATACGTACTGTTGTGCTGCATATCGCCTCATTTATGTCCCTCGAATAATAGATATTCTTCTATAAGTTTTATTTTATTCTATTTTTTTCCTTTCCTTAGATGCTATTAGTTTGGATGAATTACTTCTTAGGAATCAGTTGATATTTAGTTCTACAATAAAGTCCTGAAACATTCGTTGTATTTTATTCTCAATCATTTCAGCCCATTGTTTTTTCCCACATGACATGCATAGATGTGACTTCTGTAACTGTCCTTATCATAGTCCATGGTGAGAACCAAATCCTTCTCATCTGTTAGGATGCTGAAATTAAGGCTTCGTTTGGGGCAGTTTTCTTTCTACTTCTTAAAGCAAATTTTATGTAAATTTTTTTAATTTTTTACTAAAAAGCTGTTTTAAGAAGCAATAA